CTGGTCAGTGGGAGGGCTGCGGTCGCCTGGCGGGTTCCTCGGGTCTTCAGCTTTTTGGGCGCTTGTTTCGGGGAACCTTTGGGTCCCACTGCCGTGAACCCCAGAGGGGTAGTAACCATTGTTACTCTCTCACACACAGTAAACTCTCTCGGACTAGCCTGTTCTCGCCTTCCTTGGGTGGGCCCAAGAATATTCCGATCCGATCTCAAGAAATAAAAAAAAAAACCCACAAGAAACAAATTTGAGAAAAAGATTAGTTTTGGAGGCTGCCAAACATGACTACCTTTTTAAAGTACGGATTTTAAAAAATATAAAGGCTATGAGGAATGCTAAAACTTAAGAGCAGTACAAGTTAGCAAGGTCGAGTTCTTGAACTCTGAACAACCAGGAAATGAAAGAAAGCTAAAAAATTAATATGAACGAGATTATTACTTCATACAGCAGGAAGTAAACATCTGTAACTCATCCCATTAAGGCATGGTATGTATTAAGTTCGATTGAAGAAGAGGTTAAATATATTTGGAAAATAACATCCTTAATGAATCATGATGAGAAATTAGTTTTTGAAAAAAGGATCTTCAATTTCTTGAACACTTTATTTTGGGGAATTTAAACTCACACGTGGTTTCTTAGTGCCATTGGAAGAAAGAGAATATTAGATTTGACAGATTACCTGACCCCCCCCCAGCATCATAAATTTTATCATTATGGAGTCATGCAACATTGAAGACATTTTACAAAAAATCACTTCATTTTTGCATATTCACTTATAGTGTTGTCCAGAAGTTTATGTAGTTTTGCATAATTGAAATTATAATTTTCATACAACTATATTTTGCTTATATCCCTTACCATACTCTAAAGATTTCTTATTTTTTAGTGGTCTTAATTGTGAATCCTGAAAGAAAAAGAAAAAAAAAAAAAAAAAGACACCTGCCCTAGCCGGCTTGGCTCAGTGGCTAGGGCATCGGCCTGCGGACTGAAGGGTCCCAGGTTCGATTCCGGCCAAGGGCACATGTCTGGGTTGCGGGCTCAATCCCCAGTGGGGTGTGCAGGAGGCAGCTGATCATTGATTCTCTCTCATCATTGATGTTTCTATCTCTTTCTCCTTCTCCCTTCCTCTCTGAAACCAATAAAGAAATATATCTTTTTAAAAAAAAAAAAAAGGACACCTAACTAATAAGGGCTCTTGGTGGCTAACTGGGCTCAAATTTTTAAAAACAGCTCCAGTAGCCATTTCTGCACAGGGGCCTCTGGCACAAACTGCACTTCAAGGAGTAGCCTGTACTGAACTACCTGCCTCTATGCTGAACTGCCTACCTGTACTGTATTTCTGCCACCTGAGCGAGCCTATAAAGGAGTTCCTGATATCCTATTTCAAACAATAGGATTGAGGATTTCCCCATCCAGTCAAAACTGTGAAGCTCTAACCAATTAGAGTGGCTCTATTCTGACCAATCAGGACAGTGCCTTTTGGACCAATCAAACTATGAGGATTTGGAGTCTTCATTTGCATGAGGCAGGCCAATCAGGGACCAGAGAGGGGACTCCTGTTTATATAAACCTTCTCCCCTATGGCTGGGAGAGCATACTTTCCCTTTCCACTGAAGACTTATTGAGCTGAGACACCCACACATGTGGTGGGGCTTACTAGCTCAGTTGATTAGGGCATCAGTATAATAGAATCTCCTCCCCCATCAGGGCACATATAAGAATCAACCAATGAATATATAAATAAGGGTAACAACAATCTGTGTCTCTCTCTTTCTCTCAAATCAATTTAAAAAAGAAAAAAGAAAAACACCCACAGATGACTCTGCAGTGCTGCACAAAGCAGACCTGCCCTGAGCAGAACAGAGCAAATAATCCAGGAGCAGTGCAGATCTGTCTAGCTGGAGAGGGGCCTGGCCCCAGAGCTGATCTACAGCTGTGCTGTTTCCCAGCACTTTGTCCTGAATAAAGTTTCCTTCTTTTCACTGCAACCCCAATCTGGTGTTGAATTGGCACCAACAACTACAGACTGACATAAGATAGAGTTTTAGAAACATCGATGAGAGAGAAACATTGATCAGCTGCCTCCTGCATACCTCCTACTGGGAAGTGTGCCCGCAACCAAGGTACATGCCCTTGACTGGAATCAAACCTGAGACCTTTCAGTCTGCAGGCCGATGCTCTATCCACTGAGCCAAACCAGTTAAGGCTGACATAATCATTTTTAAGTGGGGCATATTTCCCTTAGGCAGTCAGTATACAGACAGCCCTCGGGTTATGTCCGACTCGACATACATCGTTTTGTTATGTCACCACCATCTCCCATTTATTTATAAAAAAAAAATGTTCCTTCATTTCGACGTATGTACATATGTGCTTTATTTTTTTAATATTATTTATTTACCACAAGTAAAGGTCAGGAATTGTTATCTTTTTTAATATTTTTTTTACTGTTTCACTTCATTACTGCTGTGTATGTGCTCCATGTGAGTGACCTAGGTGCTTACGTAGGTGAGTTCCGTCTAGGAATGGACCTCTGACATAACCCGAGGACCTACTGTATAGGCTCAACATAAGTACTCCAATATGAAGGTAAGGTTACTATCACTGACAAGAAAATATATAACAAATATAAAGGATGAGATCAGCCATCTATAAAAATGAAACAACCAAGAGGATTTGATGCCTAGTACACAGGTCTCAGTTCTCAGTTCTATACTCCCAAGGTATAGACACCAGTGCATAGTGTCCCCAACAGAGGCCTAATCTGAGATGACCTTTCTCTCATCAAATTCAATAAGTTGGTGTAAAAATTTACAGCTGTGGTCTTTAAAGTGATATGTGCCTATAATTTATGACGTTATTGAATCCTATTATGTACTATGTTAAATAATAAATGAATATGACCCCTGCCTTCAAGGAATCTATAGTCTGTGAGAGAAATCCTATATAATAAAAGGCTAATATGCAAATTGACCGAACGGTAGAATGACTGGTTATTATGACACACACCGACCACCAGGGGACAGATGCTTAACGCAGGAGCTTCCCCTGGTGGTCAGTGCACTCCCACAGGGGGAGTGCTGCTCAGCCAGAAGCCAGGCTCATGGAGCAACTGTGGCTGGAGCCTCTCCCGCCTCTGAGGCAGCGCTAAGGATGTCCGACCGCCAGCTTAGGCCCGCGGAGAGAGGGCACAGGTCGGGCTGAGGGAGCCCCGAGTGCACGAATTTCGTGCACCAGGCCTCTAGTATAACTATAAACAGATCAGAGTCAAATATGTATATAAACAAATGTGATAGACCAAAGGATGGAGCTTCTAACTCTCCTTGGGCAAGTCTGGGAAAGAGGTGATGGTTAAACTGGATCCTAAATGATTAGTGGGCAAAGGCCCAGCCAAAGGGTAGTGGGAGAAGGGAGGAAGCCCAATGGAGAAAGCAGAGGTTGAGCAAATACAAGAGATGGCCCCTTCCCTCTTCCTCACTTACCCCCCACATATAGGGTGGTACCCTAAGTGACCTTCTAAAGATCCAAAATCCCCCACTCCCCTCTCTCAAAGTGCATCATAATTCACCATTTTCCATTTCTGCAGCTCAACCAGAATTCACATTCTCTCAGTGCAGCTGCTCTCTTAAAAGGTTTTAGGAGCCCTGCCTGGTTTAGCTCAATGGATAGAACATCGGCCTGGTTTAGCTCTGTGGATAGAACATCGGCCTCCCAGGTTCGATTCCATTTAAGGGCACATGC